ACATTAGAGCCACCTAAACCCTAAAAACCCTTAACCCTAAAAGCCTAAAACCCTAAACCCTAAAAGCCCTAAGCCCTAAAAACCCTAAACTGTAAAACCCCTAAACCCCTAAAAACCACCTAAACTCTAAAAACCAAATGAACCCTAAAACCCCTAAACCCTAAAAACCCTAAATTCTAAAAACCCTAAACCCTAAAAACCCTAAACCGTAAAGCACTTAAAAATCTCCAAAAACAAATTACAAAGCATAGAACCACCTAAACCCTAAAAACCCCAAACCGTAAAACCCCTGAACATTCCCAACATACGAATTGAAAACATTAGAACCACCTAAACCCTAAACTAAAAACCCTAAACTCTAAAAACCATAAACTCTAAAAACCCTAAACCCTAAAAACCCTAAACCCTAAAACCCTAAACTCTAAAAACCCGAAACGGGGCTGCCTGCCTGACCCTTTGTGCGGGGATACAGTTAGCTTGTTTTTGGGGGGCATTTGCTGGACCCTGCTGGAGGTAGTGATTGCTGCGCCCGCTGGAGTGTGAGGTGTGATTTGTGTTTTCTTTCGGGATCGTGCTGTAAGGCATCCTAAGGACAGCAGCCCTTGGAGAAAAGGTCCCATAATTAAAAAACAAACCGAAACTCTAAAAGCCCTAAACCCTAAAAACCCTAAACCCTAAAAACCCTAAACCGTAAAACCACTAAACCCCTAAAAACCACCTAAACTCTAAAAAACCACATGAACCCTAAAAACCCTAAACCCTAAAAACCCTAAACCCTGAAACCCTAAACCCTACAAACCCAAAAAAAACCCTAAAAACCCAAAACCCTAAAAACCCTAAAAACCCTAAACCCTAAAAACCCTAAACGGGTTCCAGGAGGGTGGCAACACAAAGTTTTGGCCCGGCAGAGAATGCGGTGACGGGTTGTGTACCGGGAGAAACAGTACTGGACGAGTGAAAGTGAGGGGCCGGCATAGATTGCATACTGAGCATAAGACCTCCCCAGCTTCGGCTTGCACAGAAAAGGTGCGTGGGGATGTTAGAAAAAAAGCCCTAAACCCTAACAACCCTCAACCCTAAAAACCCTAAGCCGTAAAACCCTTAAAAACCTTCTAAAAAAGAGATTTAAAACCATGGAACCACCTAAACCCTGGGGGTCGAGTGGGCATCCTCAGGATGCCCACTGGACCCAAAACCCTAAAAAGGATGCCCACTGGACCTCCCTACCCGTGGAGAGCCCTGCGGAGCAGTGGGGCTGTGTAAATTAGTGAGGTGGGCCCTTGGCAGCCCAAGGCGCTCAGGGAGAACAACTACCCTCAAATTTGTCTTTGTGTCCTCGTTGTGATATGGTTGTGCATTGGCGATGACAACAAATCTGGGAAGACGCGCCTTTTAATGCAAGGAGCATGTTTTTTGCTGGCTTGAGCAGGGAGGAAATCAAGAGGCGGCTTCAATCAATGTTGAAAGCTAAGCACGCAAGCATGCATCGAAGCAAGAGCTCAAGCAAGCAATATATCAGGGAGAGATTTGGCAACTGACCAGGCTGGAGCGTGGCCTCGATTCCTCCTTCAGGAGAATCACCGAAGTAGAAGATGTGGAAGGAGTAGAAGCGCTGTCCGACCTCGGTCCGTTCGCAACAAGAAGAGACAGAGCGCTGCTAGACAAGAAACGCGCGCGCGGCAAGCCCGTGTATTCAGCATTTGGACAGTTTGAGTGAGTTTCGTTCGTGAGGCGCGAACAGGGATGTTTAGGGTACTTAACTAGACAATGATTAAGTGCCACAACAGATTGGAGCAACGGTTGCCTTTCCATCCAGGGGCAGGGTCACTGCTATAGCAGTTTACACCAGGGCAGGGGATGCAGGGGTCAACAAGGGGTGGAGAGACAGCTGTTGGCGGCCTGTCCCTCTTCTGTCAGCAGGATGCCGTTCTTAACTGAACTCCCCGCCTATTGTAGCAAGACTACGTTCCGGCGGCATAAGGGTTTGGCAAGAGCGTCAAAACTCATTCGCACATAAGCTAACGCCAGGGCAGACGCAAGGCACAAAGAGTTCCTTCTAGATGTTGACGTTGCACATATGTATAAGCTATTTTGTAATGCGTGTAAATGCCCACGCGCACAAGACGGCGCAAGGGCGGGCGCAAGGAAACCCTAACACTCGGGCATCCACACTATAATTTCGATCAGCATGCGCGTCAATGTGTGTATAATGCCATCAGATGTGCTACAGGGCGAAGCCTTGGCACAGTCCTTGGACTCCGTGGACGCTGCGCAGCATTCGAAGAAGAACAGGGAGAGGGAGGGCTTTGCAATACTTATTATTAACACCCCTTGTACGTCTGTATAGAATGGTCCACTGGGAAGGCAGGGAGAGACCGGTAAGAAGGCGGGAAGTTCATCTCATCGTCCGTTTCAATGGGAAGTCCCTGTGTTCTGGGCGCGGGTGGAATCTACTGCTTGCTTGGCTGGGCCTAATGCGACAGTTGACTTGGGCCGCGTGGGCTCCGGGTGCAGCCCCTGTGTGCCTCTTCTGGGGCACGCGCAGCCTACAGAACAATGGTGAGAAGAGCTTGGCACTTGAGACCTTGCAAATGACGAAGTGCTCAATACAACATGATACAGCAATCATGCCCAAGTTTAATCTCGAGCTTCTCCGGAGCGGACGAGGCATTATGCACGCAGCCGCGTTGCGAGACGCGTGCAGCATGACGACGTAACATGACATCTAACGGGCACTGTTCCATCTTGATGAAGACGGTTTTGGGCTTCCCGCAGATTTTTGGATGTCTGTTTCCCATGATGCCAGCGGTCATTACGTATGAAAAAGCAGGAGGATCAGGTTTGAAAAGCTGTGGCAGTCTGTGACAGACCCAGCAATTGCCCGGCGTGCTTTCGCGATTTCGCAATGCTTACTTTCTGAATTTGCACTTGGTTGCGTGAAGCCGGCCAAGTCTTTCAAGACTCATTCTAGTCAGTCAGCCTGCCGGCAGAAGGAGAGAATTGATTCTGCATTATTCTGCACATCGTTACAAGGGGTATGTAACAGGTGCGCNNCGCGCCTGGCGCGACAAGCCCTCCAATACCATGAGTATTCAAAGTCTGTAAAAACTGCGCGACAACGCGCGACAAGGGGTATGTAACAAGCCGCGCGTTTCAAGGGTATGTAACAGAGGCTTGTCCGCGCGGGCCATGGGGCACGGGGTTTCGAATCACTCCCATGTTCTGCCACCGAGTAGCATCCCCTGCCTGCCTGTTTACTGATTCGTTATTGATTATTTTAGGGACTTGCTTTCTTGGCCACTTTCTTTGTCCCTTTTCAGACCGTCACTTGCTTGGAGTCTAGCTGCTTGCGAGGACTTCCCGGAGGCTGGCTGGAGGCGTTACGCTACTTTGCCAGATAAGAGTGATGAAGTCTGCAAGGCGAAGTCATCGTCAAAGCCTCGAAATGAGGCTGATCCGAGGCAGGGTCGGCTAAGGTGGTTGGCTGTGGTTTGAAATTTGAGCACCTGCAGGCTGGCGTCCACGTGCCACGGCTCAGAGAAGAGTTCTACCTTTGCTTTTGTATATTGCTAGTGCAAAGAGCCATTGGGGGGCGAGCTGGACAATGCGTAGCATTGCGTGCTACTTAACCCGCAGCCATCTGGTACACATAAGAGGCATCTGGCATTGGAGATCAACGTGTCGGGGTGCGGACGTGCAGTGTAGTCTGTTGTTTTGTCAAACAGAAAGGTGAGTATTATCAGTTGCACTCTGCAAGTTTCCTCAAAAGGGCAATGGCTTCCATTCTTGGCATTCTTTGCAAGATGATCTTTGGCAGCTATTGAAGTGGCATGAGAGCAATGAAGTGTTACGCGACAGAGCTAACCTGCTCTGCGTGGCCTTGGTGGGTGGTGGCGGCGACAGCGGCTGCAGCTGGGTGGTGGAGGTAGCGCATCAGGTGGTGGTGGCAGTGGCAGTGGCCGGTTCTGAAGGGGCTGTGGTTGCTGCTTCGAGCGTTGGTCTCGAATGCAAGGTTGACACCCCTGCCGGTACAGACAACGCCGCTGACGCCGCCGAACCCATCTCAGAGCTCTGAATTGCAGATCGCTTTTTGTCTTTTCATTACTTCAAGAAGGCCATCTACTGTGCCAGCTGATGTGCTGCTCTCGGTATTCCTTGCTGGGGTTCTGAGCTTAATCTCTGTCGACTCTAGGACCTTTACGGTGACCTGGGTGGCGAGCAGGCAGGGTGGTCTTGCCCAAGCCTCTGCCATGACAGAAGTAAGATCAGGCTTGAGAGATATTTCTGCTTGTAGGAGTCGAAGCGGCAAAAGACTGGCTCCACCTATGCAAGTGCCATGACAGCGATGATGACTGACGATTTCGACGACGACGACTGAAACTGGACCAGGTTCTTGTTCTTCTCGACTCCAGTTGAACAATACGTCCGTTCGACCTGCAGCCACAAATGGTGGCATTGGGGCTTGGGAATGTTCCTATGCCTCCCTGTGCATGCGACACACCTTTGAGCGTCAAAAGGTCCGTGCACGCCTTCCCTTGTGTGTTCTTGACATGCCCTTTGCAACTGAGTTCAGTTGGGAACTGCAGACCGCCAGTAAGATAGCAATTGCTTTGATTTGGCTGGTGACACCGTAATGAGCTGGTTCGTGGGTCGGGAAAACCTCCGCCTACGCTTGTGGCCAATACGCATGAGCCCCATTGGCGCTCTGCACATGCGCATGTATCCTCCATGGAGGAGCAGGACGTACTGTGGCATGCCCAGGTCCACAAGCACCCACGAACGTTCGTGCCTTGCACATTCCCTGGTAGGCGGCTTAGAACTACAAAGCTGCTCTCGTGACGTTGGGCCCCAGCATTGCTGCAGGTGACGAAACATTATGCTGCTGAAAGTGTTGGCCAGCGCGCTGGCTGCGCATGTTGCATCTTCCGCTCCCGATGTCTCCTTTGAGGAACAGAGGGTGTTACATGAAAACGGTGGACAATTCCTCAGCTGCTTTCTTAGCTTGAGCCTTGCCTTGACGCGGTGCGAATGTCTATTTTGCTGCATCGGTTCTGACTGGCACAGATCGGCGTGCCGCGACACATGTAGGTGCTAAACTCACTGCGGTAGATTCTGTAGATGTTCTGACAGGGATGCCAGCTGTTCTGAGCAGGACGCCGCATTGTCTCTCATACAGGGACATGCGCGGAAGATCGTCAAGAGCAAGGTCCGGCTGCGACACCACACGACCTCACTACGGAGTTGAGAGCTGAGATTCGGGTTCTGCCCAGGGTCCAAAGCTTGCCACCGAGATGTCAGCAGCTGACGTTGGAGTCTCAGCTTGGACACCTTCGCATGACAATATGCTTGGCACCTACACATGAGACGCAAACGTAAACAGGGCAATGAAACGACGAGAACATGGCACTTACCCAAACTGACCGGCAACAGACGGCTGATAGATGACATTATCATTTTCACTTGATTTCCAAGCTTTAGAGGACCGAAGTTCTTATAACTTAAACTAGCCAGGTCACTTCACAGATGCAAGATTGCTTATCTCCTAGTTGCGGCAGGGCCCATGCTCCCCGGCAGCTTGAAATCATACGGGAAAGGGACGTAGCCCTTTGAGATCCATTTTGAGTGCAGGCTGCTGAGTCATTGCAACTGTGCAAAAAGACATGTTAGAGCTGCTTTCAAATCCTCGCCGAATAGTAGTCTGTTTCGGAGCAAAGTCGCAAGCTCTGCAATTTCATCAGCGCCCGAAGCGGCAATGTTGTGGACCTGAATCTTGTGGGAGTGAGGGCTCGGTGAGTAGTTGGGTGTTGTCATGCCGAAGCGGTCAACTTTGGCTCTGGTACTTTGAAGGCAACATCCCAAATTGATAGTTCTTTGGGTTTTCGTGTAGGTCCTGCCAGGCCAGCAGTTACAGAAGCTACCACATGTAGACTTAGTCTGTAATTGCTAGCCTCAGCGGACTGTCCTGCCATCAGCCCGTTCATCACAGAAATCCACTGAAGGGGGTCAGATACCTCTTCAGCACCTGGGAACTATGCAGGAGGACACCATCATATACCATCATCAGAATAATTGGGTGCCACATTGACAGCTTGGTAAACCTGCACAAGCGCATTGCACAACCTCTGCTAGAGCAAAGCACTTGCACAAAACCCTCACACAACCTAGGACGCCTCATGCGGTACACGTAAGCAGCGGATGCTCATGATGCTGGGCCTAGCAGTACATGTGTAATGTATACATGTGTAATGTGTACGTACGTGTCGCTAAATCTGTTCAACCGTTTTGTCCATGACATATTGTAGTTTAAGTATGATCAAAACAATGAGTAGGTTTTTCCGCGCAGATAGGCGAGGAAAGGTAGTGTCAAAAAAGTTCCATTCGGAGAAGCCTAGCGATGCATATCTAGTGCTTATCGCAGGCACGATACAGCACTATACACATGCAACCCCCCAAACCCAGCAAAGTGGAAAGGAAAAGCCATTGCGCCTCCGCTTAGATTGCCAGCTACATTCGCCGATCGCGCGCAGACAGTGGAGCCAAGGCGCTGGCAGACTTGGAAGGTGGAGCCGGGCTGTCCTTGATGCAGAGCCTCCCTGCAGCATTCAATGCAAAATAGTACACAGATATACAAAGGTTTCAATGCGGGAGGATTTGCATGGATTCACCTTGCTGCTCCAAGGCAACCAATGCCGACTCAATGTCATGTGCTCAGTATATTCTTACAAAGCTGGTGCACCCCTGAAACAACTTCAGACCAGCCAGCCCGCCGCATGTGAATATGCGACAGGACAAGATCGATTGACCCTTGTTGAGGTTGGTGAGCATTGTGTGGCTCCGACTGGTGCCCGGAGGGTCCTGGCCTTGGACTTGGAATAGACGCACGGTGGGAACCTGTCAGGCAACCGTTAAGTCCGTGGTTCTTCCAGGTCAAGAAGAGCTCGGATCCTGTAATATCTGCGGCCGTAGCTGATGGAGTCGAGGATCTGCAATGGCGCAGTTCGGCTGGGGTTTGTTCTTTTCTTGCCAAAGACTTCATTTCCTGTCCTTTGACAGATTGATACCTCAGACCCCAACCTTTGCCGGGTTGTGATTTAGCTTGATTTTGCTGCATTTTGCTGCTTTAGCTCGCGAAGCGCAAACGAGAGCTAGTCAGCAGCCAACACTGGAAGGACGGCATGGCAGCACTGTCGCTGTTCCAAGTGAGCCGTGGATCATGGCGAAAGGCTCCCCTAAACTGGCTCCCAGAAGAATGATGGCTACTGACTGCGAAGTTGCGAGATAGGATACAATACGACATGAGTCGTGTGCTTGCGTCAGAGTTCGGGACACATGTGCCTTCTGGTTCATCATCTCATGCGGAAGGCAGATGAATGTCATGGATCAGTGATAGATGTCGCTGCCGATGAAGCGACAGCCGACCAGGCAAGCCGGCAGGAGTGCTCGCGACAGGTAACTCTGTGACTGAGCTGAAGGCAGTTGTGACTTATGCCAAAACACGCTTAGCAGACGCTTAGCCGTTGCTTTGCAGGCAGCGGACTCCGCGGCAACATCTCTGATACAACAGGAGCGCAGCAAGATTAAAGTGCGCAGAACCTCCGCGAAAGGCCTAGACACTTGTGAATGATGGTTGTCTGTGAGTTCTTACAGAACATCTTGTGGGTGAATTCAGGGAACTCAGGGCAGAGGCGTGGATAAGCGAAGTCGATTTTTAGTTCGATGTGTGTAGGCGAGCGGTGTCTCCTAAAACAGCATTGACGTCAGCTGGTGCAGGTGCTTGAAGCTTGTGATTTTTCTGCGCGCGTCTGGAGAAAGAGCTCCTGGAAGCAAACTTGGACAAGTGAGCCGCACGCCATGTGACGCCAGAAACCAGTCTGTGCCCTTTGATGGCGGAATCATTTCCTGTCATGAGGCTTTACTGGAAGAAAAGCGTGCTGTCTGCTGCAGCTGGGAGCGCATGTGTGGAAACTGTTGGCTTGAAAGGCTTTCGGCTGCAACTTGTTGTCCTTGGGCGTTGCAACTTATGACGATACGGAAGGTTTGGGTCCTGGGAACGGTAGCTGGAAACGAGGCCAAATCCCAAGTTCAATCATGGTAAGTTCCAAGCAGCCATGGAAGCAAAAGCTGCAGCAGCTGCAGCCTCATTACATCCCTAATTAGAACTGACATGGACTCACCCTGAACAGAGTGACCTCTCGCCAATCAGAAGCCGACGTGGCTGTCTCATGAATTTCAAGCTGATGATGCCGTTCATGAGCTCATGAGATCCTCCGAGCTTGCAGCAACGTCACATCATCTCACTTCCATGAGCGCCAACACTTGACACTGCCTGTGGAAGAGCAAACGGCGCTTGATTGACTTTGGTCCCGATAAGTCCCGCCTAAGGCCACTTTGTTGCCGCGTAAAAGCTCGGAGGTCTGGAGAAGGGCTTGGAAATTGCTGAGACCAGTAAGCACGGAGATTTGGGGCTGCGCTTCGGCCTCCCGGCAACGAGCATCTGAGCATTGAACTTCTTGTACCTGCTGCCATTTAGTCCGGCACAGCGTGCTGCCCTAGACAGTGGAGGCTTGCAAGCCGATAGGATGTCCTGGGTGCGCGGCAAGTCGGGCAATGGGCCAACGACCCTGCTCACTTCTTCCAGGATGCTACAGTGCATCCCCTGCTCCAGTGAAAGAAGTAGATGGACTAATTGCTAGGAGTGTCCCAGCTGAGCTCTGCATCGAAGATGACGCCTGTTCAAGCCCGGAGGGAGGCCGGCAGATAGCGGATAACCGGTTTTGCGGCCATCATTCATGACTGCATGATACCATCGTGCTTCGTTGTTCAGCAACAAAATTCCATTCAGCATCTGACTATTGAATATGCAGGTAACAGGAAAGCATAGGATGGAAGGGCAAGGAATGCTTGCTCTTGTTGGAATGGAGGCTTCGTACGTGCCCTGAGTGCCGTAGCGCTGGACACGATGGCCCCAGTCCAGATTGAGGCGTCCATGCACGTGATCAACTGTTGCTAGTGAGAGAGCGTTGCCACGGTCTCATGATGTCACGCAGCAACAAAGAGCTGTTGACGTTTTTTGTTTTGAGCATGTCGGGCATAGCATCCTTTACTTTGTTTGGAGCTGTTCAGGTTGAGCTGAAGTAATTTAACCGCTAACGCGGGACCGCCTCGGCAAGGGTAGCGGAGAGCTGCATACCCACCCTGGCCCCCAACCCTGGCTAGTGCCGGACCAAGAGTTGTTGCTGTTGCCCAAGCCTCCTTCCATCCTAGCGGTCCTAGCCTTAGCCGTTAGCGTCCTTCTCTGGAGCCTCGCCGCCACATTGTTTCAGCACAACCTCACCCTGCAACCTTCAGCCCTGATGTACGAGGCATGTCTCACTTGCGGTTCTCACCCCACAAGCGTGATATTGAACGCGATGGATGTTGAAAACACCGATTCGGAACTGCAACACAACACGTCATACATGACCTGCATGCTCAAACCATTCAGGTTGGAGCTCCGCAGCTCTCGCACCACTCCCACAGCCTCCGACCTCGGGCCGGCCCCCCCCGGCCCCTTCCGCCCCGCGAGAAACCTGCATTCCATGCCGATGCGAACCCAGCCAACCAGCCCCCTTGAAACTCGAAAATGAGGAGCGCGATCGTGAGGAACTGGGAGGGGGTAGGGGGAGGGTTAACTTACTCTCCATAGCCTCCGGACCTGGATCTAAACGCCCCAGGCCTCCGGCCACGGCGGATTGCTCCCAACGAGCGACCCAATCTGTTGGCTGCAGGCCTTACCTGGTCGAGCCAAGAGGTGGGCTGCAAAGCGCCGGTTCTGGACTGGGCTTGCTGTGGCCTTTGCAGCCCCACGGTGAGCACTAGCACGTTGAGAATTTGTCGCTGAATATTGCTGTCACGTGTTGACTGCTTACCTCGTGCAACCTCGTGCAGATTGGCTTGGTTCTGGCTTGTGATTTGTTGAACAGCGGTGGTGACAGTGAGGAGAGATTGCATGGGGCAACGGCGAGAATGCTACAGAAAGCATCTGCGTGCAAGCGCAAAATTCAGGTTCTTCTGGGCCTCGAGCGTCGGCTGGAAAGGTTTCCTGAGGTGCTGGGGGCTGGGAGGGGATGATCCTTGGGACACATGTGATGCAACCTCGCCCTCGGCTTGTGCAGGTAGACACACCTGAGGCCAGGAAGAGAAAGCATGGAGGTTTGGTCACGTTCTGCCAGATGCCAGGTAGCAGAAGAGGAGCAGAGGCCCTACTTGAAGGCACAGCAGTCCTCGAACTCCAAAACAGCTCCCCAAACAGCCCGGCCAGGAGGGATCCGTGTACCAAAACGATTACATGACCCTCTGGAACGCCAACGAGGCTGTTTGCCAACCGTTCTAGACATGTTGCGGATAGTTCCTGTTCATGAAGGTCGCCATTTCTGCCACGTTGCGGATGCAGGACACGGGCTGGGTGAGGTGCAGCTGCATGTGCGCGACTATCGCCCAAGCTGGCTCAGCAACGTTGGTGGAATTAGCGTTAGTGTTCCAAGTGCGTATGGTCAGCAGAGAACCCACGCCAAATCCACAATAACGTGCATGTTCAAGCGCATCCGATCACCATGGCATCCGTGCATATCCGTGCCGCAACAATAACATAACATACATGGTCGAGCGCATCCGATCACCAGAGCATCCATACCCCAATCACAATACGTTCGTGTTCAAGGTGCGTATGGCGACCAGAGCATCCATGCCCAAACCATAACGTGCATGGTCCAGCGCATCCGATAACCAGAGCATCCATGCCAAACCATAATCACGTTCGTGTACTAATTTTTCGTTCCCAAATAAGTTCAACACCCCAAATTGAAATAGACTTCAAACTACTTCTTCAGATGTGCAAAATTTCTTCGGCTGTCGTCCAAAATCCACGGTCCTCTCAGTGTTTAAGCACTTTGTAGCACTGAACGCACTATGTCCTGCACAGTTGTCAGCAACCCAACAGTAAAAACACTGAGAAGGTTGTCGATTTTGCAGAAGTGGAAAAGACAGATGTAAGACCCATGGCCCTATAACCACGCGTGTCATTAGCGAGCCTGGCCCCCTGTGATCTCTCACCATGGGGTCGCAAGGTTTGTACATGTCTCTGCCGTTTTCTCCTTTTACTGGTTGCCATGTTTATCATTTTCACCGTTTTTAAATGTCTTTACCATTCTTACCGCCTTTATTGTTCCTACCATCTTTACCGTTTTTACCGGTTTAGCCGTTTATGCAATGTTTCATTGCGACCGCAGTGTGGGAAAATTAACGCCACTCGCCCCACTCGCCCCACCCCACTTGCCCCACTTGACCCACTTGCCTGCCCCGAACGGATTGGAGCGAGTGGGGCGAGGTGCCCCGAACCGAGTGGAGCGAGTGGGGCGAGTGGCGCGAGGAGGCGGGGCGAGTGGGACCGGCCGCGTTAAACAAATTTCCCCTCTGCGGTCGCAATGGAAGGAGAGTGAACTCCTGCCCCACTTGCCCCACTTGCCTGCCCCCTTGCCCCACTACTTGACCCACTTGCCCCACTTGACCGAGCAAATGGGACGAGTGGGGGCAAGTGGGGCAAGGGGGGCTAGTGGGGCAAGGGGCGCAGACCCATTAATCCCCCCCAACGCCGACACTCTCCAAAGTTTGCCGTTTTTCGCGTTTTTCCCGTTTTTGCTGTTTTTACTGCTTTTGCACTTTTGCCAGTTTCTCAGCTGATTGTGTCTATTCTTGGCTCTCACACTTTTGCCGTTTTACTCTTTCTCCGCCATCAAACTGCCACCCGGAACTACCCCGTTCGTTGGTGCCCGGTGCTGCTTACCAAGCATGCAAATGATGCAATCGTGGTACGCCTCCTCCAGTTGACCAGAACAACTCGTGAGGCGGTGCCAATGTCGGCCCAGGCCATAATGACAACTTGACAAAACGCTTTCTACGCAATCTGCGACTTGAATTATCAGGGCAGATACAAGCGCAGAGCGAAGATGCTGCAAGCTAGTGCAAAGGCAATGGAAGGTAAGATCTTAAGACTTGAGAGCGAAGCTCCATCGTCATGACCGTGGTGGGAGGAGACGTTACCAACATCAACAAATCGTTCACATGAGCGCTGTGGCGGTTACAATATCCAAATTCGTCGACAAAGATTAGTCGCGGTAGTCTGTGCTGGCTGAGTGTTGTTGGACGGTAGAAGGGGTCCCGGCACGGCTGCCCACCGAAAACGTTAAAAGTGCTAAAGCAAAAAATTAAAACGGTAAAAACTGCGTGCTGCAGCAGCACGAGGGTAAAATGGCGAGGAGGATCAGGAGGTGCTGGAAGCATGTACTTCCTTGCCATTCCGCTGAAGTGCAAGTTTGGTTATTGGCGTGGGATCGCGTGCGTGGGGATTGTTTTCGTGCCGCTCTGCTTTGGACTCTTGATGGAAGCTCTGCTGGTGATAGTGCGGCTCACTGTGCAATTTTGTGCAGGAGAGTTCTGGTGTCGTTTCGTGGGAAAACAGCGCGCGCTCGTGCCGTGAGAGTAATGTGAGAGCAATCTCACATCTCACATGTTATCACCATGTGAAGGCATTGCGTCGTGGTTTGACTTCCATGGCCGCTTGAGTCAGTTCCTGCTCACTTCCAGCTGTTGGGATCGCTGAACGGCAGACTTCGCAACAGGATGCAGGTGTCTGGCGTTCTTGGCCACTTCTGCTGGAGGGTTGACACATTGCGCACGTCAGAACAAGCACCGGCCTGCGTGAATTCTCGTATGCTTTTGCTCAGATCTCTGCAATCCCACCTACAAGTCTTGCAACATGGACTACGCGCACAGCTGCTGAAATTGACACTTGCTGAAATTCGATTGTTTTTTGAAAGATGTTTGGCATCACTAAGACAGGCCGTTGACCGAATTAAATCTGACCATGCAGATGGTTGGGCTTTATAAACACGATTCGAATTTCCACCCCAAGAAATGCTACACTTTGTTCATGGGCTGCTAGCAGGCACACTTGCTGGCACTGTAACTCTGTTTGCACAAGAACCGCAAAGAAGGCAAGATTGTCAAACGCCTGTTCCACACCTTCACAAGCTTCGACTATTAACACCCAAGTGTAAGCCATGATCTTGTTGGGTGATTTGAAGGCTGTATTTCAGAAGCCGCTTGCTCTTAAGAGCACGCATCCGTCATCTAGCGCTTGAGGTGCAGCCGGCCTTCTGTTCAGATGTTTGCCTCTTTTGCCATCTGCATTCAAGTTGTAAGACAGTTGTAGATTATGGTTACCTCCTCACAGGACTTGCAACATTTCGAGCTGCGGATCACCAATCTGGATTCCAAAGGTGCGCTGCGGGGCGTTTTGTTGAAGCTTTAGGTAAGGGTCGCTCCACTTATTCGATGCTTGTTGAGCTTGGGGTTTCAGACTGTCTTTAGATGTCAGGTGGCGGCAATGATGGATGGCCGCACCCTTGGCACCAGGTAAGTGATGAGTTGAAGGTGCAAGGCTTTCAAGGTCTGGGCGATGGAGCGCTAAACTTTGACAGGGGGAAAGTCAGGGTGGCTTCACAATCAGGAGTCGACATGTTTTTGAGCAGCCGCTTGCTGCTGGAAAGCCTTGCTGCCAAGATGCACAGGTTTGCCGTCAGAGGCTCCTTCCAGTTGCAACCAGCAGCAGCTGGAAAGTTCAAGATATTGCCTCAAAAGTCTTCCAGTGGGAAGAGCGACATGGTTCCTTCCTCAGGTTGTAGCAGAAGCAGCAGTGATATGGCTTCGGATCCAAGCATGCGATGTTGCGCTGCGGGGGCAAGGTCTTTAGCTTTGATGAGAGCCTTCATGATGGAGCTGCCCTATTCTTGTACAGGCTCGAGGGCAAGCAAGCTCTTCCAGCACATCTTATCCAAGCTGCGCTTGGTGGGTTTGTTGGGTTGGAGGTGCTTGAGACGCCTCGGCGGCCCTGGGATCCTGAACTTCCTGCAGCTGGAAGTGGACTCTGAAAAGGAGCTTACATCGGTCCTTTTACATCTTATTGAAGCTGTTGCTTTGCCCCACATCTCGCCAGGACACTGTCTTCGTGGCACCAACTGCTCGCATTCTGCGGGCACTTTGGGACCAGCCTGTGGTCTTGAGGCGGCAGTGTTTAGACAGCGGGTGCTTGACCAGAGTAGCCCCACCGGCTGCAAAGTCGCTATAATTCCTTTGGCTCTGTGGTAAATCTTACCTTTCAAACCAGAGCGAGTTCAGCCGAAGGTCCTCACATATCACTGTATGTTTTGGGACATGAAAGGGAGATTGACGTTTGGCAGCTACGCAGCATGTTACCTTGTAATTAGCCGATGCCATCGCCTCATGGACACGGAACCTTTAGCTAGACTCTGCTAGGCACGCCTGCACCGCCTTTGATAGCACAGTCAAAAAGCACACGTGATTGCAGGCTAACGTCCGAGGACAGCTGTTGGCAGTCTCTGCGAGTTCCGCAGCCACAAGCTGCGCAAACGACAAGTCAGCATTCTGTAAAAGCTTGGATGACTCCCAAATCGCGTCTGGATGCAGTTGCATGTGCCAGGACAAGCTCTGGATGGCAAAGAAGCCTCCTCGTGCTTCTTGAGCCGCTTCGACTGAATCTACCAGCGTAAATAATAAGCCTGATGGTATGTGTTCACTGAAGATGGTACCAATCGGCGAACTGCCATGATGTTCATATTCCTGTTCAGTCCTTGCTTAATGATTCATTAATGATTGAAGACGGATCTGGGTTTGAAGCTACAGCGATTGCCTCTCATAAAGCAAGTCTCGAAGATGTCTCAGCAAGATGCAACGCGCTTGAACTTATCTTCCGTACTTGTTGCCTTCTGCCTCATTTACACTCCTCCTTTCCAGAGCTAGAGTCAAGGCGTTCCATGTCAAACATATGGCTGTAGATGGGGAGAGCTAATGTACGCTTCATCTGCTGACTGACGGCCGCGAACAGAGCTGAATGCTGTAGCTGTAGCCCCAGGTAGGCAGGACGATCAATACTTTTCTTTGCATGTCAATATGCTCTGCATCCCAGGTTCCGTCCAACGCTTGAGAGCAGCCGACATCTGTGGAAGCTCTCCAAAGTCACCTCGTACTGTATGCCTTGTGTGCACCGATCCTTGCACGCGCAGGGATGCTGAGCTGTGTGCTGCATAATTGCTGGTTGCGCCCTTTGAAAAAAAGGCCACGGCTTTTGTCTGTGGACTGCCGGGATGGAAACGCGTGTTCGTTTGATGGCACCGCAGCCGTGCGCAAGCATTTGATTGCTTGTGCCGGACCCGTTCCAGTTGTGCTCTGTTAGTTGTGCAGACGCACTTCCTAGATTTGCCTAGAAATAACAAAGAATCTTCCGCCTGACTGTCATCTGCAAAGATTGCATGAACTGTCGGCGAGCAGTTCCTTTCTCCGTGTTCCAATGTCCAGCGGTGTAGTGCTTTGAAGTTTGACAAGTTTCCAGGCTCACCCTATGCTTACTTCGGCTGACAATGCTGCTGGGCAGCTCCACTCTCACGCCAGTTTTCTGTGTCTATCAAGACGCGCATCTCGCGCATGACTTGCCAGGCGCATCTTCGGACTCACTTCCACTTGCTTGTATGAAAACCCAGCTTTTCATGCATGCTCACGCTGCACCTGTTTTAGAGAGCAAACTGGCCTCACGCCACATGAAGCCTGCGAAATTGTTCAGAAGCTTCTTGGTTCAGGGTAGTTGCAATGGATACGTGTGGCGGAGATTTTTGGATCTTCCGGGATTCGCGAGGCCAACGAACCTGCGCCAGATCATTGAAGGAGTGACCCAAATTGTAGACTCCTACCAGATTCCTGGAAAAAGTTTGGGTGAGCTTGTGAAACATCTTTGGATGGTGAAGACATTGCTTTACGGCAGGTTTCAACGCCTGACTTGTCAGACTTTTGATGTCAGAATGCCAGACACAGGCTGGCTCTCGGAGTTGCAAAAGTTTGGCACTTTTTCCTTTCCCTGGCCTTTTGAGGTGAAGATTTGTGAGCCAGGAGGAGGTGGAATCCTCCTTCCACTTTTTGGGGAAGATGAGCAGGATTTCCTGTTCAATTTCCACGCTGAGCTCAGCCCTACAGCAGCTTGCGGCCTTTTGCCTGCAATGTGCCTGCAGGAATGGCGGAAAGGTTTGAGGGCAGTTCTCTACCTGCTTGGCCTGCTCTGGCTGTTCATGGCCGTCGCCACCGTTTCTGACATCTTTATGGGCAAAGCGCTTGGATTTTTGTTTTGCTTCAGCTCATGGTTGTGTGATGACCTGTGATGCCGAAGCTGAGGTGCCATTGAAGAGATCACATCCAAGAAGAAGCGGGTCTTGAACTCTACAACTGGAAGACACTTCACTGTCAAGGCGGACTTCTCAAGCAGTCTGGCCAAACCTTGAAAATGGCCTCTGTCCCCGTGAGCCTGTGAATTGCAGAGGTTTGGAATGATACGGTTGCAAATCTGACGCTCATGGCGTTGGGGTCAAGTGCGCCGGAAATCCTTTTGTCAGATGGGGCCCCAGTTGGGTAAGTTATATCCTTAGCGCTCCATCTTTGCATGGCCAAGGTCATCGAACTGCTTGGGAATAGCTTCTACAGCGGAGATCTTGGGCCCTCAACGATAGTAGGCAGTGCACCCTGAAGCCTGCTGTCTTTCATGGTCAAGCATCTCTGGCGGCAGGCAGTGCTGCCTTCAACCTTTTTTGTATTTCAGCAGTATGTGTCATGGCCATCCCAGACAACGAGGCCCGAGCAAACTCACGAGCCTGGTGTCCTCGCGGCTTTGCAGCTTCTTGCAGGTGAGATACATCAAAGAAATGAACGTTTACCTGATAACTGCCGTTGTTTCCCTGCTAGCATACCTTTGGCACCTGGCTGAGCTGCTCCTCAATTTCTTGTGTTTTGCAGCAAGTCTGCTTAGTCTTCAGTTGTGCATTCTTGCTTTCACCTCAGGCTGTACCTCGTGGTGTCAGTGATCTCCAAGGACAGACGTGTTTGGCAATGTGGTGAGTCTGGCCTGGGAAAGCCTTCTCAGGACATGGTGGATATAGTTGAAGGCAGGAAGGGTCTGGCCAGTCTGCCTGTGATAGATGGCAGCATGGACCTGTGATGCTGTAAACTTGAGATGGCCTTCCAGGCATTCTCACTTTTCTCTACTTCCCAATGCTTGTCGGGCTTGCCTTCGCCGCAGACAAAGGTGTGCAGGGTGGAGCTTCCCAGAGGTTTTTGCGAGCAGGACACTGCACTTGACAGGGTACATCACCTTCATCAGACGGACAAACTCGGATCTTCACATTGCCCACAAGGCGCATCAAGCTTGCATGCGGTAGTAAGAGTTTACATGCGCACTCTGCCTTCTACAGGTTTTAGTATGGATGTTTTTCTGAGATCACCATGTTTCGGCGGAGACTGGATAGAGTCCATGTAGGGCTGAAATGAGGGAGGGCCTGCCAGCGGAGTCAATTCCGGATCAGATTCTAGAGAACTACAAGCTCAACGATTTTCCTCGCCTGTTTTCTCACTTGCTGGTGGACTTGTTTTTTTGTTGTGAGATATTGTGGGTGTGTAAGCGACAGTCTCCACCCCACTGCGAGCACGTACCAGCCAGACCTTGACACGCCAAAAAACATGGTAATCTGGGAGTAGGACCCTGCGGCGAAATCATCTTGATGATTCCCAAAGAGCCATAAAAAAGAAACGAGCCATTCCAACCGGCGAGAATTCCAAACGTTAAGAAAAACTGCAGGCGGGAGTTCAGGCATATGTCAGTCACCCAAATGCTTGATATGTCGGGCGAACCCCCCTCCAACCCCACAATTACCTAACATCAGCAAACTCTCTGAACATGGTGGGGGGTCCAACCCTGACCTTAGCACCCCCACCTCTCCCACTCATCTTAGGCCCCCCCGGATTTGATGGACTTACGGTGAAAGGGGCGACTATTTTGGAAGCGATTGAATCGGTGGATATGAAAGCCGAGGGAGGGATTATAGGGGGTGTCAGAATGGAGTAAGGGCTCATTACGCGAAAGCATGCTTTATTAGGCTCGGTATGCAGACTCATACTTGATCAGGCTTTCCCAAACTTCAAAGATTGGAGGTTGGAACAAGGGCTATCCAACTGGAGTTCAGGATTTCCTGCTTTTCCTGTCTTTCTCTTTCGGACATAAATTACAAAGTTCACCTGGAATTATAGATCTCCTTGCTTGCTTCATGAGACTGTGATAGCAGGCCTCCGTACATCTAAACATCGCAGCTGGAACCTGGGATCCATGATTTTCAAATGAGATAGTGATAGCCTTCATAGACAAAAGGCTTCCACATAAGTCCCTTCATTCAATATTCCCGAGTCATGCTTGGTTTTTGGTCCAGTGACGATTCATTGTTAGGCAGGGCGACCGAATGGACATGTTTTCAATATCAGGGCAAGCGATTGCGCTTGCGGAGCCGGTAAAGGATGGTCGGCGTTGCTGCAAGTCTTCACCCTACATAGACGTCTAGCTTTCGTCCGCTCTGCTCTGATCTGATGATCGTCATCTAGTGGATGCTTCATGTAGAGAGCTGTGCAAGAGACAGACGTGGACAACCTGCAGGGCAAACTGGAGCTGACGGACGAGGATGTCGCACGCCTTAGCAAGGCAAGAAATGGAGCAACGCCTTTGTAATCTTGTACTCGGCCGGTGTATGCCGGCAGACTCTGTTTTTGGGACCGTGCTGCTACAGGCAGATGGCATGCAGCTCTCTGACGAGGAACTCGCCAAGTACATGGGCACAGAGTCACAGAGAATGTCCAAGGCGCGACGCGCTCTTCGATCGGAAAGCTCTGCATCTTGTCTCTCAAGCTGCTCAGGCAGCATATCGCAAGCGTGCTCATGATAAAGTCTACCACGGCAAGCCCGCTGAATCACAAAAGCATCAAAGGACTCTAGCGCAGCTGCTCTTGAAATGGTGTAGCAGCATTCATATTGGAGCATGTTGCAATTTTTGCGCGCAGGAATCAGAACTTCTCTGCCGTTGTGCCTGCAGAAGAGCCTCCTCTGCCACCATCAGGTTGGGAGGTGCTGCGATGTCTGGCATGGCAGCTTGCTGTGCGATTCAGGTGCCTACATAGCTCCACCCAATCCTTCAGCAACTGTGCTGTTCGGTGGCGAGAATTTCGCTGTGCTTGAGACGGCGCGGCTCATACTACCTGCTGATTTGCGTGTGGTCTGCAGGACATAAGCTGTGCTGTTGCTCAGGTTGGCCTAATCAAAGTGCCTGTGCGGCGCACTGGGAACTTGTCTCTGACAGTGCACGTGGATTATTCATGCAGAGATGGCCTTGCAAGAAGAGGTGAAGATTACGAGGCGCAGTCTTGTGAGAGGGTTATCATGGGTTTAAAGCATTCACACCTTGTGGAGTCCGACCAGGATCAGGCTGATTAGGCGTAGGATGAGCAACCAGCCCAGTTCAACTGGAGACATCTTCGAACGACAGACTGTGCAGCTTAACATGAAAGCCATGTGACCCACCGACCGAGAAGGGGCAAGATTAGGAATTTGCAAAAGAGTCTCAAGTGGGGATAGGATGGGCGCAATGGGCTGAACTGATTGAAGTGGCTCAGTTCAACCAGCGCTGAAAGAGAGAACCGGTTAGCAAAGCAGAACAAACAGCGAGGGGCAAGCGCTTGGAGCTTCAAAAAGGGTTGCTGCTGCAGAGTGTGCAGCTCCACAGAAGATTTGCAGCCTTGGGAAGGCAGTAGAAGGCACGTTGACCTTCCTTCCACACGAGGCCTGGCCTGACTGTAAAAAAGTCAAAGCTCGACATGTTTGGCGGCTGTGACCAGGCTGAGAAGACAATTGATATCAAGATCATGAAGGATGATATCCCGGAGGACATTGCTGCATTGCCAAGCCAGGTTGTAGGACCTTGGCATCTGGCATTGCAGGAAAGTGAGGATTTTTTCGTGGATCTCACAAACGTGAGATGTGCGTCCAAGGACACAAAGCCACAGCTTGCCCTGATGTTGGCACATATTGGCATAGGTTTGCACAGCGGTTTTCTTTGCCAGGAGGGCTTTGCAGCTCTTGGGCCGGTGGCAACTGCGAGGCTCTTGAAAACTGCGGTTGACTGCATGGGTTTGCAGCTGAACGGCTAACTTTAGGCATGTCCGGATTGCTAGACTTTCATGCCGATTTTTGCTACTGGCATTGTGGCATTCGGCAGGGTCGTCATTGTCGACACCGATGAGCCTAGCATCATTTACACTGATGATGACGTGGTGCAGGTTGATGAGGTGCAGTGAAAATATGCTTTTGGGGAATCGACTGTTTCAGAGCGGCCCTGTCAACTCATGCACTTTCTTGGCAGGCTTCCAGAGACAAGGAAGTGAGCATAACTGTCAGGCTGCCTCATGTCTCTGTCAGGGCTTTGGAGAGGGACTGAGGTTGTATCGAGGGCACATCAGTCGGCATTGCGAGGCGTCGTGATGGCTGTGGAGCCGTGTCCTGCAAGTACGTGACGGAGGCGGGACGGGGCACTCTGGGGCTTCTGACCTGCAGTCAATCGTTGCCCGTCCGTCGCCAGGATGGCAGCGCAGTGGAAGGCTGGCCTCGCCATATTCTGACCGGCTGCTCCCGATGCAGTGCCCTGCTTGTGAGGTCGTGACTACGCCCGAGCTGAGGGCGTGGTCAGGTTCGGTCCACAGGAGTTCAGTGCAGAGGTTGCCATCACCATTCTGAGCTCGGCCACCTTCGAAGACAAGGAGGAGCACTGCTACCACTGGGCATGTATGGCCATGTAACCTGCAGAATCCTTCCAAAACTCCTGTATGCTTCGCATTACTTCTCAGTACTTCTCAGGACTTCCGGCTCATTCTATCAGATGCGACAGGGCGAGCTGGCTTTGACCCTCAAACGGATGGGGGAGCCGCTGCTTGCTGGCAGCTGGCATGCTAGAAGTCTTGCAAGAAAATAAGGTGAATCCCAGTGTGAATTAAGATTAACTCTAAAAAACGAATTGACTCTAGATCTAATTCATTCCTCCTCAATGGGTTTCTCGTCCAGAGAGTATGGGCACCTGAAACCTGTAGGATTCTCGTCCAAAGGCTAGGGTAATCTGAAACCTCCAGCAAAAGAATCAACTCTAGACATCATTGCTCCTCCATCAAATTCTCATCCAGAGACGATGGGAACCTGAAACCGTAAGAAAAAGAATTAACTCTGGATTTAATTCTGCCGCCAGGAGGGGATGTGGGAACCTCGGCAGGAGGATTTAAATCCAGAGTTCATCCTCAGAAGTTCTGAAACTGTCTGAATGAATGTCCACGGAACCTTTCAGCACAAAAGATTAACTCCAGGGGTTTCAGAATCGCAGAAGTTTCACGCTCTCCTAGCCTCTGAACGAGAACCCTAGAGGTTGAAGATTTTCATCGCCTCTGGACGAGAACCCTGAAAAGAATTGAATCCTGAGCTAATCCTTTTTGTGACCCTACCAAAAATGCTTAAACCGGAGCTAATTCTTCTTGCCGCCAAACCTGCCCCACTGGTACCTAAATTCAATTGAAGCCAGAATTTTGCCCATCGCTTAAATTGCCATGCCTCGTTTTGCTTCTGCTTCAACTACATGTCCTGCTCACAGCCTTGGAATCGGCTTGAAATGTCTGTAGAGTCAAATTCGAAAGAATTAAACCCAGAGTTCCAGAGTTAATTCTTTCCCGAACTTATGCCTTTCGAGGGCGGTGTGCAGAGTACATGTAATAAATTCGAGAGTTAGCACAAAACCAGGCCATCGGCGTCGAAGTTTACCGCTGCGCAAGATTAAATCTTGACTTTTTTTGTAACTCTTGAATTCACTCCCGTCTTGTGACAGTCGAATGCAAGAGAGCTGACCTTCAGCGACACGAATGCGCAAAGCTTGCATTGGCTCTTTGCGTAGTGTGACCTGTACCTGAATGAGCGGTCAGCTTAGGACAGCTGCATTGTCACCCTGGTGCTTACGCCGGAGGAGGCGAGCACGAAAGACTTATTGTAATTCAGTTTCAGAGATCAGGACGAATCGTCTTCAGATCAAGTGGACACAAAATGGTGAAGTCTGCAGTGCTAGGAAGTGTCAATGCGTGCGAGACAAGTGAGAGTAAGCCAGATTTTTTCTCCAGGTGTCCAAAAATTTGGCGCACCGAACAATGCGGGCCTTGGGCGTGAACTGGCAGAAAACGCAGAAGGGCCACGAGAACTGGAAGGACATGCTGTGACACGCTCTTACTTGATGAATGAAAAACAAGAAGCCTTTGCCACAGAGCTACGTAGACGTTGTGGGGAGGGAAGCCTTGGAAGCTTGTTTTTGCTTTCCAGTCATAATCTAATTGTGATGCTGCTGCTGCTGCAGGCCGTAGTGTGCTCAAAGCTGCTGCTAACAGTGAGGATCCATAAAGCCTTTCTAGAAGGAGTCTGGCTATCACTTTGGAGTTCAGAAGCTGTTTTCGGAATTAGTGTCTGATTGGCATCATCAGCCATTTTTCCAGACTAAGGGTGCAGGATTCCTGGTGCCCCCTCAACGGGCGCAAGTGGTAAGTCTGCAACGCCACAGCTTTAAGTCACAAGCAGAACGATCCATATCTAAGAGCCTAACCTTTGTAGGCTCCATGACGGCCGCGTGATCACAGGACCAGTTCATCAATGCATTGCTAGTCAATGGCGGTGATGACGAGGCATTTGAAATAGGGTTTGTAGCAGTGCAGCAAGCCATGACGGCCGCCTAGACAGATTTCGTAAAACGATTTCCACAATCCGTCTGTGATTGTGCAGGCGGGTCCCCCCTCTGGCTTTCAGTGGGCATTGCACCTGTTGACACTCCCATGGAAACTACTATTTGCCATCATTCCTCCAGTGGCCGGCAACTCAGCCATGTGAGAGAATCATTGGTCCTCGTCCCTTGCTTCTTCAAGCGTCATGTGTCCAACAAGGACTATTGTGGTGGTTGGCTCTGCTTCTATGGTTCGCTCATGTTCATTGGCCTTGTCACTGCCCTTATCAGTGACTTGGCTGTCAGGGCCTCAGTCGTTGGTCCAGACAGGGTAACTGCAACAGCAGCCACCGCAGATTGCAGTTGCTGAGGGCCTTGTGGGCTGTGTGCTGGACATGCCTGACTTCATAACCGCAATCACGCTGGTACGTCTCTTATCCCTCCGTGCCTTTCAAACAGCTGTCTGGGCATGCGCCGAGCCATGTGCTGCGTCAGGTTGCCTTGGGCACCTCTTTGCCAGACACCTTCGCATCCAAAGCTGCCGCGGAGCAGGACAACTGCCTGCTAATGTTGCAATTTCTACAGATCTTGGGCAGGAAACGTGAACTCTAACCGTAAACGGATGTAAACGGTAACCGATGGCGCGAGTTCGCCTCGGCCGCGGTGCTTTGAGCAGGCAGGACGCTGCATGGGCACCTGCTAACACAGGACGTCGGTGTCGGGTTCAGAGCAAGGCAGAACAATATGTCATCTTGGCGCGATACGCTCTTGATCTGGCCCTTACGTCAAAGCCGCGGCTGCTGCGTCCAACGTTGTTGGCGCTCAGGAGATCCATGCGCCGCTGATAGCAGAGCGGTAGACCCGAACCTTTGCGTCGGCAAAGCCCCATGCGTCAGCTGGTAGCGTGGCAAATACGACTGCCATGCAGCCCGATCCCTTGGATCAGCTTCGTGCTCGTTATCAGTCACATAGGAGGAGCCTCAAGCTTTAGGTGTGCTGGTGGCATCTGGTGGCAAAACAAAGGAAAGGTTGGGGCGACAAGAGTTAGAAGCCCTCCAACAGAGACCTTGTGCAGGGGCTCAAGACTTTGGGCTTCGAGGGAACGCAAACGCTTTGTCTGACGCATCTTGGGGAAAAAGAGGCTGACGCGAACATCATACGACCAGAGGAAAACCTTGGCTCAAGTATCTGAAAGTTCATCTTTGGCTGCGCACTGGCGGGGTGGCATCTTATGGGCATGTAAGGAATGGAGGAAGACGGCCGGACATCCTGTGAACTTGCGTGTTGGGTATGGGTATGAGACTACGACTTGCCTGGAGGATCCGTATGCCGATGCCTCCATAGGCAACGTCACCGGCAGCAACTCGGTGAATGTGCCAGAGCCTGAGGTTTGCATTGGCTTGTTGTCTGTGTTTCTGAGACGCTTTGCGCTTGCAGGTTCCTGGGGCTGGGATTGCCTTGGACGATTGGTTCAGTCTATTGGGCGTCCGTCGGACGCACTGCTGAGTGGCAGTCCAAGTACCAGTCAGAGGCCTGCACGGCAAATGCTTACCATCACTCCTCTCCCGATGAGCTTGTCCTGACAAAGGAAAAATTCTGAATGTCGTCAGGCAGACTTTGCCCTGTGGAACACCGGAGATGGCAAATTCATTGTGATAGGCAGGCTGAAGCCCCACACAAATACGTACTTTGCCAGTGTGGACTTTACGGCATCCACATGTTGGGTACAGTATGATGATCCCGCAAAACAAAGGCCGCATACTGGCTTAGCACTTATGTAAGCCTCCGGTGGCAGTCAGAAGTCTTGTCGTGAAAATTGCTCAAAAAGTGTGATGTTCAGAGTTGGTCGAGAATTACGCAAGATCGGGGAGTCCTGGTGGCAGGTGGTGATTTGGGCTACAGCGTGGTGATCTTCTGTGGCGGGGCCTTCTTTACGATGCTCATTCTGTTCCTGCGAAGGAAGGCGAGGCAGCAGAATGAAATGAGATCTGCTGAGCATGCCAGTCCGAACTGGAGCTCAGGCCTTCGGTGGAGAGCTTGGCGGCCCAAGGGTCTGTAAGCACATCACTGGCGTGATCCTGGTGATGGTCTGGTGTCTGCACCGTGTCGGCATTATGTACATCCCAGGGCCAGCTATCCAATATCTTCTTGTTCCTTGATGACGGGTTGTGCCTGTGCAAGCAAGGTATGTAGTGTTGTCCTCCGTCAAGTCTCTCGAATCTGCTGCAGCTGAGAGCTGCAGATGACAAGACAAGATCAAGCGAATCTGGTTGCAGAATAATTTCGTTGCACTCTCTAAGAAGTTTACAAGTGTATATACTACTACATACCTATAGTGGCACAAAGCGATAAGCATAGTTTTCTTGCCATCTGCTAACACCATGCTTGTGGAAGCGTGGCTGACTTGCCAAAGGCAAGGCTCAGTGCTCGCCAAGAGAACACAGAGGATTGATCTTATCGTTGCCGGCAAGGTCCGCATTCCCTACCCCAAAGAGCAACATCAGAAGCATGACTACCCCGTACTTGCAGAAAGGGTCGAGTCTGCAACCAAAGAATGTGCAGCTAGTTGGCTCCAGGAGCGCGACGCTGGCTGGATGTCCCATGTGCGTTTAATTGCACTCCGGGACGTTGAAGTTGAGAGCTACCATCCCACACAAAGAAGTGCAACGTTGGAGGAAACACTCGCGCTCCGACGGCACAGTCACACAGGACAGTGCCACGTGCCGAATATTGGCGACGTGTGCATTGACCGAAGATGGCGAAATCAAAAGAGACACATGATGGCTGCCGCTCCAAACCAGAATACTGCCCTGCAGCTAAACAGCGTCTCTCTATGTCTCTTGTAGATTAGGTGCACGACGCGATGCATCTGTAGACAAACCCGGTGAGGTTTTGGACTTGTATCGTCAAATAGTTCCAGACGCAGACAGCAACTTATCTTGTCCGCCATTCCAGACCTCATGCATGAGGATGAATATTTAATTGGCTGTGCCAAGGGACACGCTGGTCCGCACAAAGTGTGCCAAGACAGCCCCAGAAAGCATTAAAGCCTTCGCATGCAGCTGGGACGTGGCTTGCCGCATCGGAAGGCAGGAAGCCATTTCCTGAACTTCATCATGATTTCGTAACATTCAAGCTTCTGCATGAACCTCAAGCCTTACTGTATGTCTGCGACCAAGGCTGCGCGCTGATGCAATGCATTGCAGTGCCAAATCAGTGTCTCGAGATACTCGACAAGTGATTCCCACGCGGCTGTTTGCCACTGGCAGACATGCCCGTGAGTGGTCTCACTGGGAAGCTCATTCAATGTCAGCTTCCCTTTTTGGTCATCCAGGCCCCTCGAAATCGAAAAGCGTGGTGTAGTGTTCTTCAATTTGTGTGTGAAGGGTTGTGCCAAGGGCCGTGCGTGGCGAGCCACGTCTCCGCATCCCCGCATCTCCGCATCGCATCCGCTCGAGCTGTTGAATGAAACGCACATTTCTCCTTCGTATATCCTTGAGCAGACTCGAGCGGCATCCTTCTTAAAGAGCAGAAGAAGAATAAGAAAGGGCATGCGGCTTCGCCTTGCCAAAGCCACACGTTGACATCCCAAGGCTGAAGCCCAAAGCACGGGTAGAAGCTATCCTGATGTCCTGGCTGCGGGGAGGGGCGCAGGACTGTCACACTTGCAGCCTCCTTTGAGTTCCCTTGTCCGCAGACACGCTGTCAAACTTTATCGTCAAGCGTTGATCGATAAGGAGTGGAACAACCAGTTCAGGCCAGAGCCCCTCAGCCCGCGGCTGCAAATGTCATGTTGGCTACGTATGCTATGTGCATGGCACCTCTTGGGAATTGCGTTGCGAACGCAGGGACACCCTGAACCGGGCCGCAAGCTCCGTGCAGCGGTTTGCTGAACAGGTCAACTTCTCATGCCAACAGGACATCATACTGTATTGGCTGGCTGTCTCCAGGCAGAGCTGCAGCATCTTGGAGAGCAATTCCTGGCGCAAGCGCAAAACTTGGCCGAGCAGGGTGAGGTGACGTCATGGCTGTGCTTTCAGGTGCTTTTATTAGACTCTTGACGGGGCCAGGCTGCTTTAAGCAATGTCGCAGACAAGGCAGGTTCGTGGCTGATGTGCAACAAGCAACCTCCTCGGCTGCTCCGCACACCTCATTTGCAATTCACTTGCAGGTGACCGTCGGTGTGTCCTCCCTGGGTTTGACAGCCTCCGAGGTCAGTTTGCCTTCTGTTTAGCTACATGCCTTCAGCTTCACTTATCTTCTAGGCTCTTGCCACAGAATCTCGTGAGGAGTTGGTCATGCTCTCAGCCAAAGCGAGTGTTCTTGAATCCAGCCCTGCCTCACCACCAGGTCCACAGATTCGTTAGGGAAGCCAAACAGCTGGAGCCTTTGGGTGCCTTGGCACGCAGATTTGATGTAGGGAGGCGAATGTGAACTTCATGTTTTATCATGTTTTTCTGTAAGGTGGAAGTCGTCTCTTGGTGGCCGACGTGGCCCAGGTCCTTCGGCTCTGGCAGGCCGCGGCTGGTGCAGGAGAAGCTTGAAGGGCATCTTCCACTGCTGCTCTGCACCACATGAAACGGAGGCTCGTCTGAAACGCGTTGAGCGAGGGGACAGCGACACTCCAGGCTCGATCCTCTATTTCCTTTCGCAGTGATGCCGGTCTGCACTTCTCAGGCAGAACTGCATCTGATGCTCTTCAAGCCTTGCTACAGTGGATGCCTTACCTACTAGATCATACTAGTAGCCATCTTCCGAACTGTCTATCAAGAGCAACACGTTGTCTTGTTGCCTGCTGTAAATGAGTCTGCCGACAAATCTTGCCAACAGAGACAGCCCAAATGGCCGAGGAGACCTCTGTTTAGGCCTAGGCGCTTCTCCAGACCCTCTGAACAAGCTGCACACCTTAATTGTGCGTACGTAGATTGCATGCAGCACTTGGGGAACTTGCCACTGCTTTCAACCTGATCAACCTGAACACCGTGGCAAGACGGCTGGCAGCATCTGAGTTCTTTGGGATCCCAAAAGTACTTCCTGACTCATGCCAATGCCAGCTTCTCCTGGAGCATCTAGAGCCTCAATTGCATCGACCATGACGCCCCATTTTTGCATGAACGCCTGAACCACATCTAGATCTGTCAGGCAGACATGTGATACATGTCAAGCAGCCCGAAGAAGTCAGTCATGACCGCTGTAAGGAGTCAGGCGCTCCATGTGGCTATTACTGCTTTGACGCGATCCAAAGCTGGTGTCAGCCTCGATCAAGCTGCCTGTTTGCAGTTTGCAGGAAGTTTCCGAAGCCTGCCAGTTGCTTCCCGAGGTCGCGCAGTGCTGCGAGCTGCAGCCGCGGAGAGCCAGACAGGCCAAGTGGGCAATCAAGACTGACTGTTGAATTTTCTTTCAATGCCCTTCGATTACCTCTTGAGGGCTTCAGACTGCAGGCAGGCCAACTCTAGAGGCCGAGGCGGGTGTCTTCCTCAAGGACGCACCATGACGCACACGAGATCACACGAGCTTCTGTTTGGGTCTTGCTTGGATTCGGCTCCAACAGCTGAATCCCCCGAAAGCAGGACATCCTATCATGCACCTGTGCTGTGCCAACTCCGCTGGTCAAGTGCCTTGACTCAGTCATCAAAAGCACGGCCGAGAAGTCGAACATCAAAATCCTTGTGAGCCAGATACAGGCAGCTGCTGACGCTGCTCTCAGATGCAGCAGAAGAGAAGGCGCAGGCATATCGCGGTCTCTAAAGCAGCTTTGCTGTATGAACCTGGGCAACTGATGACGAACTAAACTGCTAAATGGTGGCTTGACGTGGTGTGTCCCGAGTGGGCTGAGTTCCAGGTGTTGAAAAAAAGGAATTGCCACATACATGCGTATGTTGCTTTTGAGGCTAAGCGGCCTGGCGCAGAAGCGGTTCTGGATGCGGCGACACAGGTGTGGTTTTCAAAGCCTTAAGCCGTGGGGCGAGTCCGGGCAAACTAGCTCCTGTAGGACCTCCAGTGGATTCTGGCATTGCTATCAGCTTCACTGCTTGATGCCGAAGAGGAGACCGTTGAAGCTGAATCATGCACGTAATTTGAACGCACCTGAAGTTGGCTCTGGCATTCTTTTGGGAAGGTTGGGCCACATTGTTGCATTGTTGACTACAATGGCTACCGAATTCTCGAATGGAACTTCCTTGAATGGGGCAAGATCTTGGCCAGCCATGCTGGGCGACAAGTAGCCAGATTCCTGCATCGCAGGTCGCCTCAGATGATGCGAATGAGCTGCGCCGCTCGTTGGATGCAGCTCTTGGCGCTTTCGGAGCAGCAAAGGCAGGCGATTTGCCTCCTTTGCAAAGCGAGGCAGGGGCTAATCCAAGAACTGGCTTTAAGGATCTTTCGTATCCCACCGTTGTGGCTCAGTGGGTGCGGAGGTCTGGGCTTCGTGGCCGGGCGATGGGCGCTGGTTTCGGGCGAAGGCCGGAATTTCAGATCTGGTCTGCAGCACAGGTGATCTGCATCCAGGGCTGGTGCGATCTTACTTAGCTGCAGACCCCCCGAAGCATTGCTGCCAACGATGAGGTCCATTCAGTTTTGAGAATCAGAAGCGATCCGACTGAGCTCTCGTCATTTCTGATCATCGTAGGAACCATTGTTGCGTGCTAAAGGCTTCTGCGGATCACACCCTGATCAATTTGCATGAGCTTGCACGCCTGGCAACAGCTGCACTTGCTGACATCAGGGCTGCCACCAGGCTGCAGTCCTGCATCTAACGCTGCCAGAGATGGCTCTGACCATGGACATTGCTAGGTTTGCGCGCCGTAAACAGACCTCCGACCCGCCTGTCAGCTCCGCCAGCTCCCTAGCAACACCTCCGCCGACCAGTTTGTCCAAGTTGTTTGGAACCGACAAGAACCACCTTGGCAAACAGCTCACGCCAACCACCACTAAAATCATGACGGTCACCGCTAGAAGACGGACGATAGCTAAACAAAATCGCAAAACGGGGCGGGGGGGGGTGGCTGTGACGGATTCAGCGTATTGCAAATTTGCTCTGTGCTCAGTCCGCAAGCTGTCACTTTTGGATCCTGGATGCTTTGCATGTCAGCTTTCGGAAACAACTTTCGCCCTTGCGTGGGTGACTGGGGAGCCCCAGCACATATTTCACAGCAGACAATCTTGGGCCGACCAAGGCTTCAGCAAGAGCTCAGTTCTGATTTTGATATGGGATGCTGGTGCGAGCGCATAGTTGCAATCTATGACG